AATGGTAGGAGGGAGAACATTACAATCAAGACAGTGGATTTCAAGAAGGTAGACTTTAGCAAACTCAGGGAGTTGGTAGGTGAAATCCCATGGGAAGCAAGTCTAAGGTGAAAAAACAATTGAAGACAGTTGGCAGTTTTTCAAAGAGACATTATTAAGGGCACAAGAGCAAACTATCCCACTGCATAGGAAAGATAAGAAGTATGGCAAGAGACCACCGTGGCTTAACCAGGAGATCTTCAAATATCTAAATCTCAAAAAAGAGTCCTACAGAAAATGGAAACTCGGTCAATTCACAAAGGATGAATATAAATAAATAACACAAGTATGTAGGGACAAAATTAGAAAAGCCAAAGCACAGCATGAAATCAAACTAACTAGAGACATAAAAGGAAACAAGAAAACATTCTACAAATACATTAGAAGCAAGAGGAAGACCAAGGACAGAGTAGACCCATCACTCAATGTGGGGGGGAGACAATAACAGAAAATGTGGAAATGGCAGAGGTGCTCAATGACTTTGTTTTGGTTTTCACCAAGAAGGTTGGTGGTGATTGGATGTCCAAAATAGTGAATGCCTGTGAAAATGAGGTAGGATCGGAGTCTAAAATAGGGAAAGATCAAGTCAAAAATTACTTACACAAGTTAGATATCTTCAAATCACCAGGGCCTGACGAAATGCATCCTAGAATACTCAAGGAGCTGACTGAGGAGATATCTGAGCCATTAGCAATTATCTTTGAAAAGTAATGGAAGACAGGAGACATTACAGAAGAGTGGAAAAGGGAAAATATAGTGCCCATCTATAAAAAGGGAAATAAGGACAACCCGGGGAATTACAGACCAGTCAGCATAACTTCTGTACTCGGAAAGATAATGGAAAATAATTAACCAATACATTTGCAAACAGTTAGAAGATAATAAGGTGATAAATAACAGTCAGCATGGATATGTCAAGGACAAGTGCAGAGTCCGGCACTTACGACGGAAGAATAGAGACTGACTAGGGACTACAGACTACGGACTGAATGGCTAGGCAGCAGTTCTGCAGAAAAGGACCCAGGAGTTACAGTGGATGAGAAGCTGGATATGAGTCAACAGTGTGCCTTTGTTGCCAAGAAAGCCAATGGCATTTTGGGCTGTATGAGTAGGGGCATTGCCAGCAGATCGAGGGACGTGATCGTTCCCCTCTATTCGACATTGGTGAGGCCTCATCTGGAGTACTCTGTCCAGTTTTGAGCCCCGTACTACAAGAAGGATGTGGATAAATTGGAAAACGTCCAGTGGAGGGCAACAAAAATGATTATAGGACTGGAACACATGACTTATGAGGAGAGGCTGAGGGAACTGGGATTCTTTAGTCTGCGGAAGAGAAGAGTGAGGGGGGATTTGATAGCTGCTTTCAGCTACCAGAAAGGGGGTTCCAAAGAGGATGGATCTAGACTGTTCTCAGTGGTAGCAGATGACAGAACAAGGAGTAATGGTCTCAAGTTGCAGTGGGGGAGGTTTCGGTTGGATATTAGGAAAAACTTTTTCACTAGGAGGGTGGTGAAACACTGGAATGTGTTACCTAGGGAGGTGGTGGAATCTCCTTCCTTAGAGGTTTTTAAGGTCAGGCTTGACAAAGCCCTGGCTGGGATGATTTAGTTGGGGATTGGTCCTGCTTTGAGCAGGGGGTTGGACTAGATGACCTCCTGAGGTACCTTCCAAACCTGATATTCTATGATTCTATGTCAAACCAACCTGATAGCTTTCTTTGACAGGTAACAAGCCTTGTGGATAGGGAGGAAGTGGTAGATGTGGAGTATATTGACTTTAGTAAGGCTTTTGATACTGTCTTGCATTACCTTCTCATAAACAAGCTGGGGAAATACAACCTAGATGGCCCTATTATAAGGTGGGTGCATAACTGGTTGGAAAATCATTCCCAGAGAGTAGCTATCAGTGGTTCACAGTCATGCTGGAAGGGCATAACGAGTGAGGTCACACAGGAATCGGTTCTGGGTCCAGTTCTGTTCAATATCTTCATCAATGATTTAGATAATGGCATACAGAGTACACTTATAAAGTTTGTGGATGATACCAAGATGGGAGGGGTTGCAAGTGCTTTGGAGGATAGGATTAAAATTCAAAATGATCTGGATAAACTGGAGAAATGGTCTGAAGTAAATTGGATGAAATTCAATAAGGACAAATTCAAAGTACTCCACTTAGCATGGAACAAACAGTTGCACACCTACAATATGGGAAATGACCGCCTCGGAAAGAGTACTGCAGAAAGGGATCTGGGGGGTCACAGTGCATCACAAGCTAAATATGAGTCAAGAGTGTAATGCTGTTGCAACAAAAGCAAACATCATTCTGAGATGTATTAGCAAGAGTATCGTAACAAAGACACAAGAAGTAATTCTTCTGATCTACTCTGCACTGATTAGGCCTCAACTGGAGTATTGTGTCCAGTTCTGGGTGCCACATTTCAGGAAAGATGTGAACAAATTAGAGAAAGTCCAGAGAAGAGCAACAAAAATGATTAAAGGTCTAGAAAACATGACCTATGAGGGAAGATTGAAAAAAATTGGTTTGTTTAGTCTGGAAAAGAGAAGACTGAGAGGGGACATGATAACAGTTTTCAAGTACATAAAAGGTTGTTACAAGGAGGGCGGAGAAAAATTGTTCTTCTTAACCTCTGAGGATAGGACAAGAAGCAATGGGCTTAAATTGCAACAAAAGAGGTTTAGATTGGACATTAGGAAAAAATTCCTAATTGTCTGAGTGGTTAAGCACTGGAATAAGTTGCCTAGGGAGGTAGTGGAATCTCCATCATTGGGGATTTTTAAGAGCAGGTTGGACAAACACCTGTCAGCGATGGTCTAGATAATATTTAGTCCTGCCTTGAGTACAGGGGACTGGACTAGATCACCTCTCGAGATTCCTTCCAGTTCTATGATTCTACGATCTATGATTCTATGAAAGTCTTTCCAATTAAATAACATATTTCCTTTTGAAAAAAAAAAAAACATTTCTAGTCCATGTGAAAGAGAACTTTTTATTTTTTCTTTTAAGAAAAAAAGTTATAAAACATCTTATTCTGTAATATTTTAACATTGCTTGCTGCTCCAGCACAGACTGTAGAATATCTTTACTAACATCCTGTTAAAGTACATAGGGTAGTACTATAGACATACTATAGATCCACAAGGTACAATAATGGATGCCATAACTATGGTGATGGGTGTAATAATAATAAAACCTAAAATAGGTAGATGAGACAGACACACTGGGAGAGAAAGTCAATGGGACTTTGATGCTTAACTACTTTTTGTGTCTTGAAAATCTCACTTGGACTAGATAGATAGATAGATAGATAGATAGATAAAAATCACTAGTCTAGTGAGTCCACTCTTAAGAGTTCTGTTGAGTTTCTTTCTTTCCTTTTTTTATTTATAAAAGCATAAACTTTAAACTACTAAAGTCTGCATTAAAGTTACATTAAACCTCAATTTTCAAAGCAATGTTCAGGGTTATGTCCTGGGATCTCTTAATGAGAGTCACATGGATAAAATACTATGCATCCCTTTTAAAATGGAGTCACGAAAGATGGGAAACACACAGCCACTCCCCACCCTTAACTTACAATAGTGATATTGCAACTTAGAGCATGAGTGGTCCTCCATTTATAATCTGTATTGGAATACCTAAGCTTAATGGGTAGAATTGGGATCAGGAGCATGGTAGCTGTAGGACCATACTTAAAGTTCTGAAGACTGGATTGTGCCATTAAGGGGCAATTCCTCTGACCTGAAGCACGATGCTTTTGCGGCCTCTCGGGAATCATGGGCCATAGCAGCCCGCGCTACACCCTTTTACCTGAAGCAGCATTACATACCATAGTGTCTCCCTGTCCTTCTTCTATCTCTTTGGAGTGGTACCTCTGTCAATGAGAGATTCGTGACATCCTTGCACTTCTTGAGCACAAGGACTGGGACTGTGTCTAGGCCCAGTGCAAGGTTCCTTCAATCTCCTCTCCTTTCCCTCCTCCACAAGGATAGACACAATTTGGCTCTGCACCTCCTCCTCTCTTTTCTAGCTTTAGTCCTGTACAGCATTGTTTGTGAGCTGAAGTGATGTGTTCCCAATATTTTAACAATATTCTCTTCCAAAAGTTCTGCCCCTTAGCCTGTGCTGCTGTGGATGGTGTTACAGAGAGGTAAGGGGCAGAAGAATCTATTCACTTTTTTTCCCATTTAGCAGAATAATGACTTCTTATAACTTCTTATAATAATGGAAGGAGGTAGCACCATGCAACAAACAAACGCATGATATGAAGAGGCAATTTGTGTGGTGTATGGATGGGTCTGGTTTACCCGGGGCCAGGGTGCCTCCCTACTTCCCTCTCCCACTTCCCACAATGTGTCCCCTACTGCAACCTCCTTTCCCTGCAGTTCTTCCTCAGTCTCCTGCCCCACCCCTCTTCTACATGCTGTAAATGTTTATATTGATATGTATTTAAAAAGGGACTGAGGAACAAGAGAAAAACAGCAGCAAGGAGAGACACTGAGGGAGCCAAAGGAGGGAAATAAGGAAAAGAGGGCCTGGGCTAATGAGTAACAGGAACTGCAGAGAGTTTGCAGGGGGAAGTAGGGAGCTAAAAGTGTTGTATAGAAAGGGACTTAGGGGAAAGGAGAGCAGGGAAGAACCCAGTGAGTAAAGAGGCAGATGGCAGGTGACAAGCAGGAGCATAGAACCTGAGGGGAAACAATTTTATTTTCTGTTAAAAAGAACCAGGAAATTCCCACACACCATGATGTCTGTATTTACAGTTAAGGTTGCTCAAGTGCATTTTCCATCACCACAGTCATTACACATCAAGGAAATTACCAATTAAGCCGGCATTAACCAACCACAGTTCACACTCCTACTGCCTAAACGTCAAAATGCCCAAAAGCACTCTCACCCTCCTCAGCTCCAAAACAAAAGCCCTTTTAGTTCAAACATATTACCTCCCACAAGACACAGATCCAGTTCTTCAAAATCAAATGCACAACCGTAACTCTTACACCTCATACATCCTTTTCTGCAGAACCAACAGATTACATAGATTTTAACAGTAAAGACATGTCTACTGGTTATTAGCTGTCTTAATTCTGAGGAGATCAGACATATGGGACTGTCCCTCAGTGTGATTCTCAGGAATTTGAGCAACTGGATGTGTACACTGTGGTTGACTAGATGTTGGAACTGAAAGGAAGCTTGTTGTAGAGGAGTGGAGTCTTTCAGTGTGTTTGAATATTACGATGTCTGGGTTTACATGTATTTGCATTTCTCCAGTATTTTGGATGCTTGTCCAGTTGTGCACCACATTTCAGAAATAATTGTTATTGGTACAGTAACTTAGGGTATGAAGGGAATTACCTAACACCAAAGATGTATATCATTTGGATCATTGCTGGTTTACATATCTTGAAATTTTCCACATATTCCTTTTTCAGCTCTTTCTCAATTATCATTTTTTAAGGCTCATCATTCCTTCTTAACTGTTTAAACCTTTCTATATTATTTCTTGTTAAAGTCAAAATTAATTTCAGTGAGGGCATCATATAACCCTAAATTATTTCCTTACCCCCCACTTAATCCAGAATGCCATTTAACAAAGTGTTTTTCTGGTTTCATCTTGCCTATGTGTTATCTAATTATCATGCCAAAGTGCTACATATTTGTATGAGATGAGATGGCATTGCTAAATTATGATAAATTAGAGTAGATCAAAGTAAAGTGATAAAAGAAATATATATTGGAATTAATAAGGGGACAGTTTAAGCACAGTGTAACTGGGGAGAGACAGACATAACATGTGGTGTTTGCAGTACGAGATAATTGATGTTTGGCTCCTAAATGGTCAACACTTTTTTCTGGTTCAACAAGCACTAGATTTATGTAGAGGTTGTTCAGAAGTTCATATGACTAAGCACACACACCAGCTTATTTACATTGGACCATTTCTTTGTCTGTGGGTGAAATACTCAGGGAAACATTAATAAATCAGAATTCCTCTCTCTCTTTTTTTTCCCCTGAAAGTTCGCCAGATTTACCTCTTAAAATAAAATAGATAACCACTGAATTCAGCCTCGCTTAGGTCATTGTTTTTATACCCTACTTACTGTAACACTTAAGGCGGAAAGGAAATGTTTTTATATTTAGCGCCTGTTTCTATAGATGTAAACAAACACCCCCTCTCCGCCCAAAAAACACAGCTCAGAGTGAAAGACCAAAACCAAAGTATGGCACTGAGAAGATGCATATGCATAAACTGATCTGGTCCTAACCCTCACAAATTATAGTCTTATCAATCATTGCATACTTCTTAAAAGACCAGCTCAAGGTCAGAGAGTCCAAACGTTCTATATTAGATCCTGCTCGTACTCCATTTACACCTGTGCTTTACTTTATCCCTGTGAGTGGTCTTACTGGCCTCAGTGAAGCTACTCACATGGGTAAAATTAAACATGTACATAAGCCTTAATCTCAGTCTGGTATTTTCAAAGAGGTCTAAGGGAGTTAGGAGCCCAACTCCTACCTGAGTGAATTAGAAGTGGCCCAAACCAAAGCTTCGTATGTGAATCCCCCCACAGCTCTGGTATAAAGACCAGAAGCTCTAGAGGAGGAAGAACACTTGGTGAAAAGGGGAAAGTGCTGCCATAAAAAAGATTCATTTGCACAGGATATCTACCCACAATTCCTGCATTGATACTTGGAGAGTCACTGTAACTGTACATGAACTTGGATTTTGTGGGGGTAGTAGGCTTCCAAAGAAGTTTAAATGGGTGGGGGGGGGAGCGGAGCGTGATGCGACGTGATGTGACATGACACAACACGACACAACACGAGACGAGAGCGAGCGAGTAAACAAGCACATTCACTCTTATCTTGGGGGTAAAAAGTGCATTATTTCTAAACAGCTACAACTGTGGTCAAGGGTCCTAAGTGCTCTTGGCTCCACTCCGGTGGGTCTTTGGGGTGAGAGATAACACAGAATGATGACTCTGTACTGAGAAATGATGTAGAGGACAGCCCCAGAGCTGTGTGATCCCCAATGAGGCCCTGAATATTTAACATCATAATAAAGCGGACTCACTAAGCTGAGTTAAGGGATAGTACCTCCAGGTGGGACCAGACAAGTGGGAATGGAGACAGACCTGTAAAGATACACTTCGACTACTGCTACTCATTCATCTAACTCATGAGTAGGGTTTGGTAGATGGGTGAGGTGGTGTAATCAAGGGTTTATTACCCTTGGGAAATTCTCACCAGTGCAGGAGAGGGGATAGGAGAACAAGTTAAATGGACTACCCCCAAGTTACTGGTAGGTATTTTACTCTTTATTTCCATGTATATTCTGTTGTTGTGTTTTCCCTAGTTTGTGACTGTATTTCCTCCACTAATAAAGATTCCCCTGTTTGTACACAATCTTAGAGTGCTTCTGAGTGGGACATTCTGCCCTGTAAGGGTACACAGGGAGGGTGCACTTCATTTTCCTAGGTTTCTGGGTGGAGGGTGCCAGTTGAATCATTTGTCAAGAGAGATCCTACACGTGTTGAACTTTTTTGTTGCTGTTAACCACCTGGCAAAAGGGTTACACTGAGATCAATTCATCAAGATTCACAATATGCCACTTGGTCCCATCCATCTCTTGCCTGATTCATTGGTCCTCTCACGTGAGCCTTATTTTTCTCCTATTGATTATCTAGTTTCTTTTCTTCCACCCCCAAACTCCACTGTGCTGCCAGCATTTATAATAGTGTTAAATACAAAAAAAGTGTTTTTAATTTATAAGGGGGGGGTCACACTCATAGGTTTGCTGTGTGAAAGGGGTCACCAATACAAATGTTTGAGAAACACTGATCTATCCTCTTTAGATTTGTCTCACTTCCATCCGCCTTCTTTATCACTTTATCCTTCAATCACCTCATTCTCCATAAAAGTGTCTAACTGTCTCCTAAGGTTATCATTCTGTCTACACGTATGACATGTACTGGGTGAACTTATTCCATATGTTTATTCCTTCAAATAAAATAGTTCTCACCAATTTCCTTATTTACTCTTCCTTAGATTGTGAGATCCCTTCTGTCCTTGGAGTCTATGAATCTGTGAATCTATGAATCCCCTTGTTCATTCCCTTTCTTCTTGAAGCATAGGGAGAACAGTATTGCCTACATCTTCCTCCACATGCTTACTTGCTGCTCTGCATTAAGACAGTGACTATAATCAAATCTCAGTCTTCAGGGCTTCAGCTGATCACCTTCAGGGGTCAGGAAGGAATTGGCCAGATGTGTTCTGTGGTTTTGCTTCTCTCCTTTCTTTGAAGCATCAGAGATTGGCCACATGTGGAGAAAGGACACTGGACAGGTTGGACCAGTGCTTTGCGGAGATACAGAAAATCCTGTTTCTTGGGTGCTTATCTGGAGTGTCTTGCTCTCATACTCAGGATCAAACTGATCACCAGATTCAGGCTGGGTAGGAATTTTCCCCCATGTCAGATTAGCAGAGACCTGTAGAGGTTTCACCTTCCTTTGCAGCATGGAGTATGAATCACCTGCCAGGAGCATCTAGGCATACCACACCTTATCAGGTCCCTGCCCTTGGTAGCACCTCATTCTTTCCTGTTCTCTCTGCCTGTGACATACATCAGTTTAGTCTCCTGTGGGCTGAAATGCTTTAGTCTAATCCATGTTATTGTATTCAGCATAGTGTTATTGGATGAAATGTAATGACCTGTGATATACAGGAGGTCAGACTAGACGATCCATTTTGGCTTTTAAATCTATGAAGCTCCCTAGAGCAGGGGCCAAGTTTCTTAAATTTCTAGAAAGAGCCTAGCACATTGTAGGTGCTACTACAAATAAATAGAGAATAATAATTACAACAATTGTTGTTTTCTGAGATTTAACTTGTTTCCTCTGAGTATTGAAACCCTTTGCCATTGGAAACACTTTGCCCCATTCTTTACTATCAGCTCTCTTCATTGTGAGAATCAACTAGTGTGATTAGCCATCCTCCTAAGAAATAGTCTTAAACTTGTACCCATCCTGGCTGCCCCTTCTTTGTATTCCTTCCAGCAGGAAGGTGACCAAAATTCAACCCCATGGCCATGGTCCAGCCAGGCACTTAAGTATGTGCATAACATTGTTGGCATGAGAACTCCCATTGATAAACCAAACTCTAAGGTGCACATTGAGTAGATTTAAGTTTGGTCACACACATGATTGAAGGTATGCAGCACATGATGAAGTGCTTTGCTGGATTGGGACCTATGGTTCCAAGTCCTTTTAACCAGGACCTTGTCAAATCATAATATTACCTCTCTTCATTTTATTCCTATGTTGAGTCATCCTTATAGTATCTTTGCCATTATTACGACTGTCAGACACTGGGCTGGTGGTTTGTTTTGACGGTGTTTCCAAAATAATCCCTGAATCCTTTTCTTGGTTATTGTGCTGCCTGACATTTCTGTTTAACATGCACCTTGTGGGTTTGTTACTTTGCATCTGTCTACATTTACATTTCTTTTCTATTTACTCCATAGTCACTTAAATTATTCAAATCTCAGGTTTACAAGTTTTTTCATTGCCTTCTCCCCATCTCTATTTCCTCTATCATTTCAAGAGGTTCCGTTTTCTCTATTTCTTTTGCTGCTGCTAGTATTTATAAGGAACCATATCATAGCAGCTGGAAAATATTTGCAATTCAACATATTTGTTCTCATCTAGTTATCCTTTTAATTTGAGTCTGCTTCTTTTTATAAACTTCCTTCTCATCTTTCTCCTCCTTCTCCTGAAAATCTTTCGGCTTATTGCACATATTAATCAAGACATCCTATCTAGACATCCTATCTGCAATAGGTCACATTGTGGTATCTCTAGTAGTAAAGACCTAGGAATCCAGGGCACTGCATTGCTATTGGCATCCCAGATTCACCCTCTCTTTGTGGGAAGCCTGTCTTTTCTAATAAGAAGGCCTCAGAATTTCCATCCTTCTAGACCGTTCAGCCTAGTAACTCAGTCACTCTGTCACTATCAT